AACAATCAGAAATTAACATTGTCACTAGTGACAATTTAATTATTGATATCAAAAATGAACATTTTTACTAGAAGCAATTCAATTGTTGATATCAAGAATAGACGTCTGTACCAGTAACAATGTAACGGTAACAATAAAATTGTAATTTCAACTAGTAAGACATTAATTCTTGATATCAACAATTGATTTTGAATGGCAGCCTATGGTGATATTTAACTAGTGAAAATAAAATTACAGATGAAGAATGATATTTTTTACAAGTTGAAATTTAATTCCTGATATCAAGAATTAGCATTTTAACTAGTAAAAATGTAATTGTGGATATCAAGAATTCATATCATGTGAAGGAATAAATGTCAAAACGGCTTGCCATATTTCGTCCCGCTTTCATCAATCAGAGACCGAGCTTCTGCTAGAAGTGACCGGAACTCACCTCCGCTTCAGTGGACAGGGTTTCCTCGCTCGCAGATAACCTGCTGGACCTCCTTCGCGGCGGACTCTTTCCATCAGACTCTACGAACAAACCACACACTGCGTTCAGAAACACTCAGCTAAGCTCTGTTAACAGCCTGAATGTCAGAGTCACAGTAATGACTCACTTCTGCTTCCAGCGCTGCGCTTGCTCGGGAATCCTGCGGCTTTGTTGCTCATCTTGCTAAGCTATGCTAAGCTAACACGACAAACAACCTACAAGAGCTGCGCCTTTGTTTTACTTACACCGACCAATCCGTTAAATGTTCTGTTAACGTTATATGGAATTACATAAAAACAAATCACACAAATATCTCTGTTCTCGGGTGTAAACGAATCTGCTCGTCTTCTTTCAAATTCGCCCGCGCGGGGTGGAGCTAAACCAACGACTTCCGGTGTGTTAAACACGTGTCTTCCTCTGGACGAGTTGAACCGCATTCAAATATTTGCACTCAACATATAGACTAAAAAATACAGTGAGAGCTGGTCAAATATTACTCCAGTACAAGTGAAAGTTGTAAAGACATTTTTACTTAAGTAAAAGTACAGAAGTAGGCCTACTTGCTTTTAAAAGTACTTAAGTACCATTACTAAATTTCCTTTTTTATGTCAATGCAGTTTTATTATTGTTGTACGTAATACTTGCAATACCTCTGAAGCAACTTAGATTACATTACACCTGCTGAATACACTGGCTAGCTTGTAGTAGGCCTATGTTTGGAATGAAGAGCTTTAAGAATGATAAAAACCAATAGAAATGCTACAAAATGTTTTTATTGAACACCCTACACACCTCCACAAAAGCAGCATGGTAGTGATCTCACACAGCTCTGGACACATCTACGTGAATCGAGTGGACAGTGAAACTGATATAAACACCAATCAAACCTGCTTTAAAACCCAGCAACACACCTGTAGCTGTGTAACTTTACTGCTTTAACAAAAGAGCAGAAATAAGGTTGGGAAACATCCGTGTAGATCATGGTTGAGATCGCCCACGTCAGACAATATGAAATTGATTTGAAAGCACGGGGGTTTTCTTTAGAGCAGCACATTAGCATGAACATACAACACAACAAAGAATGTTTTTTGCACTTAAAAGATATTTTTTGAAGTTTATTTCCATAAAATCTGCCCCCCCCCCGATCTTTATACAAATAAATGTATCACAAACCACCTGGGAAACATATGCTAACTTTACTAAAAACAGTCACAATTTCATACATTCCAGACCTCCACAACTTAATAATAATCATAATATTAAAGCAATAAAGTAACAAAAACAGTTGTTTTAATTTCATTTTTGGACAAAAGTTGCGAACATTTTATTAACGGTCATTCTGAAAGATAATAAATGATTGAAACATACTTATTTTTTATTTAGAAACTATGACATTTTCACAATTCTAGAATAATTTACTCTTTATATTAATACGTCTCTCGCTGACATGTGAAAGGCTGTTGAGAAGTCAAGCCTCCCTTCCTCTAGAGGTCAGCACTGAAGTTTAAAAACCTGAAACCTTAAAGCGTATAAGAGAACCGCTTCTTTAACCACCATTTAAAGAATGAGCATTCACTACTTTCAAAGTGAACTTAAAACCCTCCTAACCGTCATTCAGTCCAAAAAGAGCAGGTAAAATTGCCACTGAGTAAACTACAGATGCTCGCTTTAAAGTGACTGAAAGGTTTAGGCTTATATGGCGGCAAACACACGAGTGAAAAACCACGCAGACTTACAATAGTCTTTTGTGCACTGTTTGATTCAAGGCATAGCACTGCAAGTACAAATGAAGCGGGATGCTAGAAAGTTTGATCGTCTTTGCAGGACTCCGTCCAGTGGCCGAAGACCTCACAGATGTCGCAGTACGGTCGTTCGTCGCTGGTGCTGCCGTGGTAGGTGGTGTGTGGCAGCGAGTCTAGCATCTGGTCCTGGGTGGGACAGTCCTCTGTGTCGTGCAGGTCAAAGCAGTCACAGATGTCACAGAAGAGACGGGGAGGGGGCTTCTTTTTAAGCGTCGGCTCGGCGTGACTAGGTGTAGAAGACAAGGGTGGGAGACTTTGTGTAACAAACTTAATAAAAAATATGTTAACAGCTTTTTTTAATTCAACATACTTGTGCAAAACTAAATGTTATTCTGTTTTATCAACATAAAACTAGATGAAAAAGTTTGTCAAGAAGACAAAATTTTAGGTTGGCTTGAGAACGCCTAGCCTGAAAGTTTAAAGTAGTTGTAAAAGCCTGAAGTTTGAAAATTTAGATAGATGTTGATAACATGTTTCTAGCATGATTAGCATGTTTTTAATATGATTGGCCTGTTACTAGCATATTGCTGGCATGATTAGCAAGTAACTAGCATGTTG